ATGTCGATGTGGTCTTTGACGCGATAGAGTGTCACCGAATCGGAACCATTAGTCTTAGCGATCGAATCGATTTGTTCTCTTTTAATGGAGTTGTGTTCAAACATCTGTTTCGCCAACTCTTTGTTCGCATCCAACCGTTCGAAAGGTATGTCTTCTAATGTCATCTTCTGGAGCATTGCTGTCAAAACTCTCAACTCTTCACTTCTTGGGACCCAATCTTTCAAATCCACGCAAACGTCATAAACAAAACTTCCGGAGTTTATGTCAGGTTTAGGCCACGAATGAAGTTTCACTTCAATGTTGTCTTTGAAGGCCTTCTCGATGACTGATCCCAACATTAGTGAACAACTTCTCCAGAAAGTCTTGTTCACGAAATGAGGATTCGCTTCTTTAAAGTGCTTGAATTGAAGACTACAGTCACTGACGAGCGGTCTATTAATGTCCCAAAAAGTCTTGCCGTCGATGAGCGCCACAACAGATCTCTCGGTAATGAGTTGATGGATGTGTTGACCGCAGTGTCGAGGCGTCGATAGGAACCGATTCATCATGAGATCAATGGTTTGAATGTCTTCAGCGCCGAATGGGTTCACCACCGATACAGTGATCTTCTCAATCCTCGTCACTAACTCTGACTGTCGTTTCAGCTCATTGTCGAACAACTTATTCCTCTTGAGTCTCAACTCTTGAGCACTCATTTTGTGGTCATTAGCCATAAACTTGTCGTTCATTTGGTATTCATTTGGATAATAAAAGCCCTCTTTTTTGACACGACTTCCGAAACGATAGCAACGAATCGATTGGTGTCTCGAAAGGCATTCAATTGAATACAGACTTGACTTTAATTTCATTAATGAATTCATTGTTTCAATGATTACAACAACTCATTGAACAAAACTGAGCGACAAATCAGCGATTGATTCAATCAATTGATTCAAACTTTGAATTGTGTTTCAAATTGTTTACCAAAGCATTGAAACATGTGTTGAAAGCATGTGTTTGTTTGCATACAAACGAGATGTCACTGAATGGCAGACTTGTAGACAATTGTAGACAATATTATGCAGTGTTTATTGCATAACAATTTGTAACACTTTATTAGTGGTGAAGAGATTAACAGTTATATTGCAAATCATATATCAAATGATTTGTATTTAAATTAATTGTAATTTTATATATAATTCATATGAGATGTGACCCAAAAGGGCAGGCATTCAGTCATACAATGCCTTCAAAACTAGTCTAATGTCTAACTATTTTGTGATACATTTGTAATTTTGCGTTAAATTTAGTTTTTATTTGTTTGTAAATTTATTTGTTAATTAAAAGTAATAATAATATTAATATAAATAATGAGTGAATTGAAGCTAAAGGGATATTTTGGTGGACTCTTTGCCACCCCTTTCACAGCTTTTATATTCATTGCATATATGATTGCATTCATAAATCAGGGTAATTATTGTCAATATATGTTATTTATTATTATATAATTAAATAATTAATTAAGAAAAACCAATTAATCACTTCATTTAATACACGTGTTTATCGTGTTATCTGCTATTAGTCATCAATTGCTGTAACTTAATAATTAATTGCATTAAATGTTTTGTACAATATTTTCTACAATTGATTATCAATTAACATTACAATAAATTTAATGGATAACCAAACTATGATTGAGTTTTTGTAATTAATTTAAATTTGAAAATATTAACAATCAAAAGAAATTACAATATGTATGAAGATAGAAAAGCGTGAATATAAGAATTAGCATGGTTAATAATTATTGGCTTATTTTAGCTAAATCTTAAGCTAAATTAGCTTACATGTAATATTATATTAAATAAATAATAAATATAGTTTGAACGTTAAATTATTAAATGTGGAATATATTACAACTAAAATTATTTATGATTTAATTGGAAATTTATTTTAATGATTGATAATCGATTTATTTTTTGAATTAAATTTTATTTAAAAATTTATAAAACTTTTAAAGCAAACTCTAATTAATGTATGAAACAATTGCTAGGAATTCTGGTGACGGCGACCAAGACTAGTGATAATAAATACAATTATAGCACAATTACTGTTGTATTACTGACAGAATGTATTAAACTCTTGATATCGATTGTGATGTATATGAAGGACAAGCCGTTGCGAGAGTTGGTGCCGGAGATGATGATGAGCTCAAAAGTATTGGTCTTGTATTTGGTGCCCGCATTCCTCTACTGTCTCTACAATAACCTGTCGTTCATAAACCTGTCTTCTTATGATCCGACCACTTATTATCTGTTATTACAGCTGCGAGTAGTGGTTACGGGTATTATCTATCAGTTCCTATTCAAACGCATTCTATCCAAAGCCCAATGGTTTTCATTGATATTGTTAACCATGGGATGTGTTGTCAAACAGTTATCCGGCTTTTGGCACAATTCAACCACCGATTCATTCATAAATGTCAATTTATTATTGATTTTATTTCAAGTATTTTGTTCGTGTTTTGCCGGCGTTTACAACGAATACTTGTTGAAAGACGTCGGCTCTAAAGTGCATCTAATGGTCCAAAACGTGTTTATGTATATCGACTCAATTGCATGTAATTTAGCATTACTTGTACTGTCGGGTGAAGTGAGTCGACTCTCAGAGCTCTCCCAAAGTATTACAATAATCAGTGATCCGAAGATCATAGCTGTGATGGTCAACAATGCCTTATGTGGTATAATCACGAGTTTCTTTCTCAAGAACCTTAACTCCATTCTCAAGACATTCGCCGCCGCATTAGAGCTCGTCTTTACGGCAATACTTTGTTTTATTATATTCGACATCAAAATAGATATGTTTACAGTCATCTCCATTGCGATCGTCTCTTATGCCACTTTTCTCTATTCACAAAACCCTGTCATTAATGCAACAAATGATAAACAACTCGATGAAGACAATCAACACAATCACATTCAGTATTCACTTCTTAATGACAACAAAACTGACGATAAAAACGAGTCAATCGTATAATTAATTGATTCTTATTTGGATTCTTATTTAGATTCTTATTTAAAATGTATAAATTTAGTAATTCTTAAATATTTTTTAACATAATATAATAGTTATAGTAAAGTATGTAATAAATTATTTAACTTATTAAAAAATTTTCAATTTATTATTGAACATAAAATGTTTAAATATTCTCTTCTTATAATGAGTTATAATTAAATAACAATTAATAATTTCATACAATATTTCATTATTTAAAAATTGCATACAATTCTTTGGCTAACATTTAACATTCAAACACAGAATCATTTTCTTGTTGAAAAAAGTATCTGTCGTTTGATTTATTTTTTAATTCTAAAAATAATTGCCGCAGAAATTAAGTAGAATATAAGCCATAAGAATGTGACTGAAAATCCAATCCAAACACCAGAATCCTCTAAACTCCATCCCCTCGAGAGTACGTTTCGCAATGACTCCGTTGGCAATGTTTGCGGTTGAATATAACTGAACCATCGGATCCAATATGGCATCGCTTCCAACGGCCATATTATGCCTTATTAGAAGTTATTTTAAATTAAATTATCAGAAAATGTTAGTTTTATCGCAATAATACCGCTTAAAATGAGATTCGGGTAAAATGTTCCCAAAATCATCATAACTGCTGTGTTCTCCTGTTGGCAAAGGGCTGACACCACCAAACCTTTCATCGGGAATTATTTTTAAAATTATTAAAAATTATTTTACATACAGTTTGAAAGAAAGAAAGAAAGGAAGGAAGAGAGAGAGAGAGAGAGAGAGAGAGAGAGNATTTTAAAATTTATTTAACATTTGTTTTACATACAGTTTGAGTGAGTGAGTGAGTGAGTGAGTGAGTGTGTGAGAGAGAGAGAGAGAGAGAGAGAGAGAGAGAGAGAGTAAATATGATACAAACCAAATGCCATTCCAGTAGTGCCCTGAAGAAGCAATAAGCTAACGACCCAAACGAATGGCCCCCGACTTGGAATGTCAAACACAAGGAATGTGAAGACAAGAACCAATATTATTTGTATAACCATCACAAAGATCTGGACCACAGCGTGGGCCACAAGAATCTGAAGTGTGTCCACACCCGCCACTAGACTCCTCTCAAACAGACCATCTGTTGTAAAGAATAATAATTTCCATTAACTTTAATCATAAGAATATATTTCTAAAACTAGATCTTGTAATTTGCTTTTGAATTGAGTACCTCTTCGTTCAATAATGAAAGCCAAAGCAGTCAATCCGGTGGCCATAATATAACAAATGCTAACCACAACTCCCGGTGCCATATATTCCAGATATCCCTGTTGGTCGGCCTCTCCATAGACAGGAGTTCCTAACTGTTATAGAAGTATAGAATATGACTTTTCAATTCAAATTGTAATTTTTTGTAAATCTGCATTTGTATTAACGGTGAGGCAAAAAATGGTAATTTAAAATCAGACAATTGATGACTAATATATTTTCATTAAATTTGCATTAAGACGTGATTATAAGTTAATTCATGTGTTATGCAATTCAAGAGCACAATAAGTTTAATGCATAATAAATGCATATTTTAAGAATAGGTTTATACTACAGTGTAGTGTAGCATAACATTAATAACAACACCATATTTTGTTCATTAAAAATAATTCAAACAAAAATTAAATTCCCAAACAATGTCCACTTAAAACAAATATCTAAAATAATGACATTAAGTGTTTCCATTGGGAATAAGGTTCGCAAATTGAATAACACTTGAATTATATAAGTACTACAATAACTATTGGAAATTCATATCTTTCTTACAATTTACTTAATTTAAAATGGTTTCTAACCTTAACCTCATTTCTTCTACTAAATTGAATTATTAAATTAATGTTTGAAAAAATTGTTTTTAAGTTTTTTATTATTCTAAAAAATATCAATTCACACTTCGCTATGCTTTTATATTTGAACATAAAACAAATAAAATTCTATTAAAAAAATAATTCTTACAGTAATAGGCAATTCAGCTAAGGCTGGATTACGTCCCAATATGTTGAGAGTGTCCTTTGCAAACGCTTGAAACGCTTCCCTAAATGTCCGCTCCATTGTATAAGAGATTTGCTGATCTATTTTTACCACATATTGTCAATGAATTTCATCAAATAATTTCCAAATAAAGTCTCACTCGTTAGGTCGGGATATATTCTTATAGTACTTCCTTCGATGGTTGTGTTGTCCACATCCTCTCCTAATATCATTCTAATTCATTCAAGAGTTACATCTAATCAATCGATTCTTCCAATAATACAATAAATGATTTTACCTTCTTTGAAGACTAAGACTAAATTTTTCCGGAATATTCAATACACCCCTAATTGTAATGAATAAAATGAAACGTTTGATGTAATGTCAGTTCATTATTATATTTAATATAAATTGTTTGTATCCTATTTGTAATGTATCCTAAATATTATGTTATGCTAATCAATAAGAATCGTATTTTTAGACAATTTATAAAATAACCAACAATATTCATATATTAATTTTAAAATAACAAAAATAAACTAAACCTAAAATTTAAAAAATAGCAATTCTTAAATCACTGTATATCTGCTCAAAATTATTGGCCAAACTTTAGATTACAACAAACTTTGAGTGATTTATAATCTTTTATAAAAAAGCTTTTTATAGTAATAAATATTTAGAGATTTTCAACACTATAGTAATATAACTGTTATATATATATCGGTAAATGTCATGTTTTATCTAATAATGAGGACATAAATATCTTAAAGACAAGACTTACCACATTTCTCCCCTCTTCACTGCATTGATCGCGTCATCAAAGGAACTAAAATTGTACTAAAAATACAATCAAATAATACATCAATAAATTAGTGGATTTGACTTTTTTGGGTATAAATATCAATAAATAATTCCAAACCTGATTAACGAGATGTGGATTTATTTTGTCGAGAAATATTCTGCTAAGGAATGGCGGGAACTCTTCGTTAACTATCGCTACATTGATATTG